CATAATAATGAGTAATTCCATCGAAAATTGACGTTTCTTTCCATCATATCAAGCAATAATTAATCTACTGGGTATAACTCGGGTCTTAACACTATCAGTAGGGGTTTTGTGGAGAGTTTATTCATTTTAATAGTTGAGATCATGAATCAATTGAAACTAGACCACTATGGAAAAGTTTCAATTGACTTATAACTTCAACTATTGAAATAACTAAAATCTCCACAAAACTATTTTTGATACTAATCAACATATGTTCACTAGTAACTGACTTCAAGATATATATCTTGGAGTTCTAGTGAGAAGCAGTGACCAGTGGAGTTTAATCGGGTGGGAGTAACAGGCGATATAATGTATATAATGTACGTGACTGTAGAATCCAAGACATGCCTCTTATTTTATTTGCAGCTCATCAGTTGAATGAATCTGTCATATCCTATACTTAATGTTCATACATAAATGAATATGTATTTACATCCAAACTGAAGAATATGTACAATAAGAAATATCAAATCATTATCCACATCGTTAATTCAACTAATTATATGTTTTTACATAATCATCTGTTATTCTCTTTCAAGCCAACTCTTTACAATACAATACCATATCTTCCTTATAAATAAACAAAAGTAGTATATTGAATGTTTTATTTTTCCTTATTCTATTCATAAGATGATTGTTTACCAAATGTTAACGTTTTAAAACAAAAGAACAAATGTACCATTACGTCTGATTCTCTTATAATAATAATCTTATATAAACATAATATACTTCTATGCAAATGTTCCATGTAACATTAGGTATGGTTCTTTAAAAAAAATCAGAAGGGGTTTTGTGAAAATTTTAGTGATTTCAATAGTTGAAATCATGAGTCAATTGAAGTTAGACCATCATGGAAAACCTGCAAGCACTGGATGGACAACTCGTCCAAGTATGGGAATCCTCAGTAGTGCGCATGCACAATCCCACGCCGCGAGATTCGAAACCAGGGACTATCGGTCTCACCCACTAACGCTTAACCTCCAATCCATTGAGCCGGTATCCAAAGCTGATTCTAATCAAATATTATATCTCTTAATAACTATATCAATGGATACAGTTTTTATCAGTAATAAATTCGGGGTCATCATCATTAAAACAAAAAAAGAAACGAAATTTTAATTAGTCGCTTGTTGTTTACAACACCATTAAAAATAATTTTTCTCTTTCTTTTATTTATTTTTTTTGTATTATGATGGTCTTTTGAAAGTATGTTTCCCGTAGGATTACAAAGAAGGACAATGAATAGATATTCGAGGTCATTCGAGTATTTTTTTACCTTGAATTAACTTTAATCATTATATCATGCAATAGAATATTTAAACATGATTAATTAAGCGTTAAATATTGCAATAGTTCAATTATATAATCTGATTCAGGAATATTTAAGATTAAATGGTGGTTGGGGGTAGTCAATAGGAAACCCTGGATTCGTGTTTAGTGGTACTTGGCACTCGTCAACAAGGTGTACTTGTAATCTCGAGGGAAGTGGTGCACCATTTAATCTCAACATAGTGCACACAATCTTGAGTTACCTCGACTAGTGGCCACAATGCAACTTGGTCGATGGCATTCGATATACACTAAGAAGGACTTGACACACATGACATTAGTCACCATCCAGTGATCAATCAATTGTGAATATTTAAGATTCATAATATTGTGATGTATGTTACTTAACTCGATATATATAAGTAGTATGTATTCGTGATTGAATATGGAATGCCTTGTAGCAAAAGAATAAATTGAAGAGAACAGAAAGAAAATTACAGAGTAACTAAAATAACAACAGAATTGAAAGAACCACAAAGTTTGTAAAGGACAACTGATAGAAAATGGACAATTTATGTATTTAACGTATGGTTTTCATATTAAATTAAGCTTCTATGTCATTTTGCATTAAACAATATATTGGCCTTCCCTACATAAGTTCGCGTTCACTACAGTATGACCGTTATTAAAAAAATGAATAAATAACACAATCTGGTTTCTAATGAAAATATACTTTTATCATGATATTACAGAATTTACCTACTCAATTTCCCTTAAACATTGAATTTATTTCAATAGTTGAGATCATGAGTCATTGAAGCGAGATCATTATGGAAAACCTGCAAGCTTTGTATGGTGGCTTCTTCCTATTGTGGGACTGCTCAGCAGTGTGCATCCAGGATCCCATCTCGCGAGATTCGAAACTACGAACTATCGGTCTCACCCACGAACGCTTAACCTTTGGACTACTGATCTGACCGACATTCAACGATGTTAATGTTTAACTTTATCTAATTCACGAAATCAAGCGACACATCCACCATTGTCTTCAGTGTGTGAGTTACAATCTCACAAAAAAACCCAATTGAACTCTACTGGTCACTGCTTCTCACTAGAACTCCAGGATATATATCTTGAAGTCAGTCACTGATATTTTTAAACGCTGAATGTCTTCTTAAATGATTGATCACTGGGTAGTAATCAATGCCGTGTATCTGATCCTCCTTAGTACAGATTGAATTCTATGTATTAGGCGGCAAAGTAACCACTAGTCTAAGTGACTCGACATCTCTTGTACTATATTGAGATGTAAGGTAATGATTAGAAGTCGTCAACAGGAAACTGTGGACCTAGGTTTTATGCTATTTGACACTCATCAACAAGGAGCATCCATTTCCTCAAGACTTTAGGTAGACTTTATTTGATTGCTGAGTAATTTATGAATCCAAGAGAAAGAAAGAGGTAAAGTGTTTTAGTAAATATCAAGGTGATTATCAACAAATATTTAATAAAATTCAGACAACTATTGAAAATCAATTTCAGATTAATGAGGCCTTCATTCATTTTCTGTAAATAATAATTAAAATTTTGTAACATAAAGTTAAAGATCTGAGTATTCGAAAAAGTTGCAATGACTACTCGTTTCACATAGTAACGAAGTATGTTATAACAAATCAAATGATTATAAATATCAGCATAAGGTTATGTAGAAATTAGAAAATTTTTCATAGATTTAAAATCACAAACTAATCTTAGTTAGACCGACATTGAATAACTGAGAGCAGACAATGGAAGGTGATAGTGCAATATTATGAAGTGACTGAAGAGATTAACACAGTTGGATGCTAGCTCAATGATCCAGAGGTTAAGCATTAACACGTGGGACCGAAGGTCCTGAATTTAGTTCCCGGATGTGGACTACTGAGAATACTCATACTAGGACGAAACGGCTATTCAGTTTCCCAGTCTTCAATAGTGTTCTAAGATCATTTCAGGATTTAAAATTTTTATGCCTCGATAACAATAATGAGTGGTAATTTTTGGGATCTGTTTGTGGACCAATACTATACGTATATTTTTATCGTATATTTGTTAATTAACTAAACTATTCATATTCATGTCTCTCTTTTCATAAGCTTTATTTTAATCTATGAACTGTTATTATACGATTTTCCATTCTTGAATTATTCCCTTTCTATTATTCACTACCTCCCACATTCACAGCCACATTTGGCCAAATATTGTACAAATGTTATTTTCTATTTTATGGTACGTTGTGGTCTGTTTGATTGGTATATAAACTCAGTATGTTTGAAATATAATGATACATATCGCAGAGGCTCGGATTAACGTTCTGAACTTAACTGGCTGAGCTGGGCTGGGGGGAAGCAGGACCAATCAGGACTCTAGACTGCTCGCGCGTGTTTTACGCGTCATTGGTCCGATCGACAAGTCACTGCCCTCTAATCGGCGGTCACAAGATAAAACAAAAATCTATAAACTTACAAACTATATTCGAATAGTTTTGCTTTTTTTAGTGAGAATAAAGAGATTACATTTAGCAAGATAATATTGTTTGTTTCCAACGACATTAATACAGAAGTTCAGTAATATAGGATGATGGTGAAAAAATGATATATAATAACAAATGATCGAGAATATTCTTCGAAATGACAGTAAATCAATTATTCCATAGTTTCTTTCTATGCCCAAATATCAGTATATTATAAACTACAATCATTTCGATCCATATTTATATTTATTTGTTAGCAAACAAGTTGAGGTAACAGATCTATGAATTATTAAATTTGTAATTGTATACCTTCTATGAAATCTTACGAACATTAAGCTTATTTCATATAATCACTATTCTCACTAACGAATATGGCTTAAATTATTCTATATTGAAGGTAGTCATTTGATAAGGACTGTTTAAACCGATAAGTTCATTCATGTTCATAATGTTATACTCTATTAGTAAGGTAGCTTTCATATGGAAATAGGTAATATATACTAGTATCCAGAAAGTTATGTAATCACATGGTTTTCAATCAAAGAATAAAAATAAACTCAAATTCATTACATAAGCTATGAGATTTATTCGGGAATTTAACTTCTGCTTCTTTTGTTCACAATCTATTAGGATACATGAAGATAATTGATCTGAATCTTAAACAATTGTTAAAACAGAAATTTAAAACAAAATAATAGTAATCATGAGTCAGTTGAAGCTAGACCACCATTGAAAACCTGGAAGCACTGGACGGCCGTTTCGTCCTGGTATGGGACTCCTCAACAGTGCGCATCCACGAACCCGCACCACCCGGGGCTCAAACCCAGGACCTACTGGCCTCGCGCGCGAGCACTTAACCATTAGACCACTGAGCCGGCATCCAACGGTGTTAATGTCTAACTTCAACCAATCCACGAAGTTGCGCTACCGTACACCATTGTCTTCAGTGAGTTCCTATCTCACAACAGACCTGGTTGAACTTCCAGGTTTTCAATGGTGGTCTAGCTTCAACTGACTCATGATTTCAATCTGTGAAAATTTCTAAAAAATCTCCACAAAACACATTCTGATAAAAATAATAGTAACCAACACCAATAACTTTATGAAAACCCCTATCATCTGTCTTTCTCCTAAACACACACACATACACGCAAACAAACTCACATGCACAATTTCTACCTCAACTATAAATAAGCATCAATGAACAAGAATCCAGTTTCAATTTAATTGTGACAAATAAATTTAATTCAGAAAAATTAACACCACTTATAACCCTAAGGTCATTATCCTCGTCATCATCATCATCATCATCATCATCATCATCACTATTATTATTATTATTACTATTATTGAAGAGAATATCATGATCAGTGTAAGGTTTTAATTTAATCATCTCAAATGAACAGTATAGAACATCTCTTTCACTCTCTCTCTCTCTTTCTGCCTTTTAATATTGTTGTTCTCCTCTAGTTGATTAGTTTAAGAGGAATGTTTCAAATGGTTTTCCATTGAAATCTCAATTAACCAAATGAAGGCAATCAAGCAATGTTAAGGTCATTTGATATTTATTCCTCAATTAATTGAATATTTATTCAAGTTGAATAACTAAACATTGAAAAACTAATATAGAAATAAATTTGCTTGAATAGAATAATGTGATTTATTCTAAACTATTGAATCATTCATTCATTCATTTATTGATCAAATAGAGCATTAATTTCCATTTAGTGAACTGTTATATCATTGTTATGTTACCATCATTGTAAAAGGTATGACTAGATGTATACTGATGAAATACAATCGATAGCTGAGATCATGAGTCATTTGAAGCTAGACCACCATGGAAAACCTGGAAGCACTGTATGGCCTCCTCGTACTACTATGGGACTCCTCAGCAGTGGCCAGTGTAGTTCAACAAGGTCTGTTGTGAGATAGTAACTCACTAATGACTATGGTGAATGTTCACTTAATTTCGTGGATTAAATAAAGTTAAACATTAACATCGTTGAATGTCGGTCAGATCAGTAGTCTAGAGGTTAAGCCTTCGTGGGTGAGACCGATAGTTCGTAGTTTCGAATCTCGAGAGGTAGGATCGTAGATACGCACTGTTGAGGAGTCCCATACTTAGACGAGTTGTCCATCCAGTGCTTGCAGGTTTTCCATGATGATCTCGCTTCAATTGACTCATGTTCTCAACTATTAAAATTACTAAAATCTCTACAAAACCCCTTCTGAAATACAATCAATCAAATATTGGTTAAAAAAGCTAATATCTTAGAAACATGATTTCAAACTTTAACACTATTTAAAAGATAATTATTTTAATAGTAGTGTACTTTCACTTTGTAACCGATGATTAGTTTGAACCAAGTCAAATCTGTAATTTAGTTTCAATTAATTGAATATATACTTATTTATTCATCTGTCTGTAGAAACATAGTTACATAATCAGAAATATTTATGCAAGCTAACAGTTGCTTTTACAAAAGAAAAGTGTCTATTGTGAATAGGCAAAAATTGTATCCATCCATTAAAAACTTAATATTGTATTAACTAGTGAATAAAGACACCCCCCCTTCCCCCCCCCAAAAAAAACCAATCGAAACTCAGCATTCATCATTATCTAATGATTAACAGTAAAGTATTCAGAGTTTGTATGTTACTGTTTACCAAATATCACAGAACTAATAGCCATTAAAGTGTTTCTGTATGTTTCTTTCTCTATCAGTGGATTTAGAAAAAGTTCCTTTTCTTTCCCCTGGTGACTTTGAGCACGAATGAACATTCATTTTATATACATTTTTATTATTTTATTCTCATCATTGTTATTCAATGTCTCAATTCATTCATAATTTATTTAACACATTAATTGTCCAATCATGTTATAATTTCATTATCTTACATGTAAATACAGAAATCCAACAAACTGTATCAACTGTTAGACGATTTTTTAAATGGAATTATATTCATCGTGTTTAATTTATGAAGGAATCTTGACTTGACTATCAATATAGACTAAGAAGTAATGAATAGCTGTTTGTCCAAAGTATATGACTCTTCAGAAGTGCACAATAGGGAAATCATCATTGAGGATAAAACTCAGAATTCTCGGTATCATTCGTAAACGTTTAAGGACTAGACCAGTGACACGAAATCCAATGTTGTATATATATTTAACTCTAATCAATTTCAGAATATTAAGTTTGTATCTTCTTTTGCCTGTGATGGATAAATGTTTCATACTCAACATGATTGAACTCCATTGGTCAAATTTTCTCATTAGAACTCCAGTAATCCCACTGATGAACAAATTATTACTATCACCCGACTTAATTGTCAACAGGTTAAGCTTTCGCGAACCAAACCGAAGTTCATGGATTTGATCTTTAATGGTGAGGTCATATATGTGTATTGATGAAGAGTTCCATACTAGGAAGAAAAAACGATCCAGTACGTTCAGGTTAACAGTGGTGATCTAGACATGATCATTTGGTTATTCATACTTTGCAAACTATATAGTTTTCACAAAACTCTATAGAATTCAACTTAAAATTCTAAAGCTTTGTAAGAAATTCTTTTTAAAAATGTATATTTGTTTAAGTTGTATTCTGAAATTCCTTTCGATAAGCATATTCATGTTTTTAGTGAATTCAACTGGTTTGTTGATTCTGTTTGGCTAACTGATACTCTTTAAAACACAATCTTGATTAAGAGCTTACGTAGCTAATCATTAAACGACACTAGCGGTATTTGAAGCATTCGAAAACTAGGAAATGGTTTGAAAGTCGGTGTCAAGCATTCAAACTCCTGATACATCAAGTAGATGTAATAAAGCAAGTATTTTCTCAATTAACAAGATACTTCTAAACTAATAAACTTTAGCCAAATATTCTACATTTATAATTCTAACTAATTCATAATGTAGGGTCATTAATATTATTTTATTCGATCAAAAGCTTTTGTGTTCTATTCTCGATATGATTATGAAAAAGTACTGCTCAGATTTTTCATGTTAGACTTAAGCAACATTCATAATCTTCCGTGGTTTTTTTATTACATTTAACAACTGACTTCAAGCTGTGAACAACATGTGGAGAAATTCGAACACTTCACTTCTACTTGAAGTCTGTGCTGATAATGTCGTTCAGAAGAACGATGAAAGTTCCACGACCAAACCATCCAGCTCAGAGAATAAAACTCCATTAAAAAAGTATTTATTAAATTTTGTTTTATTTGTTTTTATCTTCACATTGATGTTTACAACTGTAAATGATCAGTCTCTTATTAGCATATATAAACTCTGTGTAGATTGTATCGATATTTCTTGAAGTCATAAGCATTATAAGGAACAATAGATAGTGACTATCAATGGAATGGGATACAGATACATCCTTCTGATGAATCCTGAACGTTACCAATAACCACCATACATATTTTGAAGTTGATTTTAATATATTATATACTTGAGGAATACTGTTTTTAAAAGCTGTCAGAATTTCCTATTATTTTTTTCTTAAATTACCCACTGAACTGAACAAACATTCATTGTCCATTTCATTCCGCTAAAGAAATAAATATAAATTCCTAATTTTAATTGACTAAGTTCAATTATCATTTTTCTCTTCTCTCTTTACAGCATAATGTTAATAAGAATTGACAAGACAACAACAACAACAACAACTGGTTTAGATTTATTGCAGTTGATAAACATTTAACCTTCCTTTTTCTTTATTTGTATTTTCACTTTATGTTAACAAAGACAATTAACTAATTTAAACAAATCATGAACAAAATCATCAACAACAAAAATTGTTTCCTTAGTGAAAAAAATCTAAAAAAAGAAAACTAATCTAATATGATATTTACAATGATGATGATGATGATGAACGCTTTAAAAGAAAGAAAAAATGGGGGGAGAGAAAATAAATTTTAGAAAAGAAACATAATGGTGAGATGAACTATTTATTTTCTTTTTTTTTCAAAATAAATAATCAACAACAACAACAAATAAAATAAAATAAAAAATAAAAAAAATGAATAAATGAGGTCAATTATTCTTTCTGTTGTTTTTTTCCTCTCTCTCTGTTTCGGACATTTTTGTACTTTTAAATGAATGAATTTTAATTGAATATTGATAAGAAATAAATAGTTAAAACATATCTAGAATAATATTGACATTTGTAATAGTAATAATAATAATAATAATAATAGCAATAGTGGTAATAGTAATAATAATAATATTAATAGTAATAGTAATAATAATAGTAATGGTAATGAGACTAGTATTGGTAATAATAATAATAGTAATAGTAGTCGTAATAGTAATGGTAATAATGATAGTAATAGTAATAATAATAGTAATGGTAATAAGACTAGTATTAGTAGTAATAATAGTAGTAGTAATAATAATGATAATATAAGGACAAATAAATAACGAATGATTATCAATATTAATGAAATGGAATATGACACATTGAAATGAATGTTATGTTTTTCATGCAAGAAAAAAAACAGTTATTATAAGGCTATTGTATAATAATAAATGTCATTAAATTGTAATTATAAGCTTAGTTATAAATGTATTTCAATAGGTTTAATTCAATTATTGAAGGAAGGGAATTATTGAATTAATATTAGGAAAGGGTTTTTTTGTGTGGATATTATAGTAGTTCTAATAGTTGAGTTTATGAGTCAATTGAAGCTAGACCATTATGGAAAAGCGGGAAGTAATGGATAACCGTTTTGTCCTATTATGAGACACCTCAACAATGTGAAACCACTGAATTAAGCGGAATTATAAATGTAGAATATTGGGTTAAAGTATTCTTATTATGAAAGTATTTTGTTCAGTGGGGAAGTATTTACTTTGTTATATTTTCTTGATATATCTGCAGCTTGAATTATTATTATTATAAGTGTGACTCCATGACGAAACCTATCCTCAAATTTCGAAAAAAATCTGAATAAACAAACGAGAGTTAAATAAATCAATGTAAGAAGTTTGTGCGAATGAATAAATTTCATGTATTATAATAAGAACATCACCGGTTTTCCAATGAATATTTAACTATGATCAAATAGAAGTTTAATTGAACATTGAAATGATTTCTTCGTAAACTCATTTCAAAATATTCAAATTGAAGTGGATCGAATTATCCCGTTGTTGACAGTTTGACTGGATTTCCATCAGTCTTGGTTGTCATATATGTACCCTCTGCGGATTGCTTAGATACTACGATTATAACATAATTTAATGTAAAAATGTATGGAATATGGCTAGCAGTAGAATACAGGATGTGTGTCTCGTCTCACTGAGACTGCTTGCCTTCATGTATTTGAATCTATACTACTAAACGATAAATTTCTTGCATATTGGAGAGTTAACAGTAACAC